AATGACTAGTGCAACTAGAAATTTGAAGGAAGGAATACATTGGCTAAGGTAGATAAAAATATAAAGTTTTTCAGAATCTATGGAAAATGGGAATTGGGTGATTTCTCAAAAAAATAAAAATAGAGTTGTCCTATGATCCGTCATTTGTAATCCCAGATATTTAACATAAGAATACAAAATACTAATTTAAGAAAATATAGTAGGGTCTGGGGTGATAGTACAGCGGGTTGGGCATTTGCCTTGCATGCGGCTTATCTGAGGTTCCATCCCTGGCATCCCTTATGGTCCCCTTCCCTGCCCCCCACCCCCAGCACCGCCGGGAGTAATTCCTGAGTGCAGAGCCAGGAGTAACCCCTGAGCATCCTGGGTGTGACCCAAAGAGAAAAAAAAAAAGAATACGTAGTGACATAGTCACATCCGTGTTCACTGCAGATCTATTTACAACCATCAAGATCTGAAAGTAACTCAAACACCAATAACAGATGAAAAGAGTAAGAGGATGTGTAAGATAACACACAATGGAACACCCAGTTATAGTAAATGATATAACACTCCGTTTCCTATAACGCTTAGTTAGAGGAAACTATGAAGCCTTGCTGTTTGTCACATGCATGAAACTGAAAGGGGTCATGCTCAGTTAAGGCAGATATAGAAAGACAAATATTAGAAGTCGAGTATCATGTTACGAAGAGAAGCAAAGGATAGAAACAGACACGCCAAAGCTAAACAAATCCTTGGACTTTGACCTCAGGACCCAGGTCACCAGAATGGAAAATGAAAGGTGATTAAAGGGAACAGAGGATGGTCCAGTGAATTGTGGTGGAGGATGTTTGAAATTCATGGTGGGTGCGGTATGAAAGCAAATATTTATTAAATGTATAAAATGAGCTCATAGAGCATATGGTCTTATAAATCAATAGATTCACTTGATTCCTCAGGCCCCTTATGTAGCATTTCTAATAAACCCACTAGTGTTCCTTCACATTTTAATTGACCTTGTATTATTTTCAATTTCTAATATGTTGTGATTTTTATTCCTCCTGCTGTTCATTTTTATTTATAAATTTAATTTATTATGAATTAAAATTTAACTTTGAACTTCATTGTTTAATGTCAATTACTTTTAGCTAATTAAGTCGTTTACATATTTGAGAAAACCACACTGAAAATTCTGAGATTTTCTTTTTTTTGTTCACTTGTGTGTTCTATCTAAGAGAAATATATTGTCTTCTTGCAAATGCAATAGCCATTACTTTGGCAATCTCCAGCAATTATCACGCCTTCAATTATATATCCACAAGTCTTCTCATTCACATGTCCAAGAATTTTAAACCTAGAATAGAAAATATTATGCAAAAATAATGAAATTGACTTATATATTAAAAGTTTAAGTCTATAATATGTTCAAGTACTTATAAATAACTAGAAAATCACCTTCTCAATTCTCTAATAATACAAATCATAAATGTATAGTTTTACCCAAAAGTAAACATTAAATCTGGAACTGTGAGAGTCAATTTAATTCTCATTATGGCCTCTTTTACTTCTTCTCTATTTTCACTGGGTTTTACCACATTTTCTTAAATACTAATATTTCAATAAGTATATTTCACTATATAAACAACTCAAAGTCATTGTCAATCAGGAATAGTAATGTTCTGTTTTCTAGAAATGACATCTGTTCTTGCAGAGTAAGAACCAAGATAACTCATACTAATAAACATGAGTAATGATTCCACAAAATGAAATATTTCAATATACCAATGAGGTCAGAAAATTTAGAAAAAAATTTTAAAAATCATTCCTGTGATAAAGTGCAACAATTAAAATGAATTTACAATCACTCTGGACTTTAGGTGCATCTGAAATCTTAAATTCAACAAGGTCTTGTGTTGGAAAGCTGAGACTGTTTAGAATGAGCAGCATGAAAGAAATCTTGCATATTTCATTCATTTAATCTAAAAATAAAAACACATTTAAGGTTATATATGACCTACATTGTGATACATTATAGCACAGCGGGTAGGGCGTCTGCCTTGCACGCAGCCAACATGGCCGACCCGAGTTCGATTCCTCCGCCCCTCTCGGAGAGCCCGGCAAGCTACCGAGAGTATTCGATATGCCAGACACAGTAACAACAAAGTCTCCAATGGAGACGTTACTGGGCCCGCTCGAGCAAATCGATGATCAACGGGAGGGCCTTTACCTTACCTTTACCTTTATGACCTACATTAATTAAGTTTTCGGGTAGGTATGGGAAGAATGACTAGGGTAAGAATATACCTCGAGTCGTCATGTGAAAATTTTTAAATACTTTAAATTTTTCAGTTAAGTATTTTTTACAAATAGCCTGTGAAGTCGGTTCTATTGTCCACCTCTTATATAGATGATAAAAGAAACCAGTACATAAAATATTGAATAGCAAATACAATACAATAGCAAAGATTACCTACATAACAGAGCCAAGATCTGAATAGACAGGGTTTGCTTCAGAGACTGACTACTAACCATATTAAATTACTTTTTGATTCTTTTTGTATATGAATATATATGGTCCATTCATATATTAAATTCAATTTCAATATAGAAATGTAGCTCAAAATAAATTACAGAGTCTGTTAATTTTTTTAATTTTCAAAATATTTTTTCTATAGCATAATAATCAGTTTCATTAATGTGTTTATTATACATTTAAGGTAAAACATGTAGTAAATATATGGACAGCTGATAGGTAACATTCAGCATTATTGTAGTTTTTAAAATTTTAGCCATGGCTTTATCCATAATTCCATAAAAGATGATTGACTGCATGTATAACTAATTATAGACAATTGTTAACTTTCTGAAAATCTTAAGATAGATGTCTGTCTATCTCAAACTCATATAATTTTGCTTTTATTTTTATTTTTGGGTCACATTTGGCAATGCTCAGTACTTTCTTCTGACTCTGCGCTCAGGGATCATTCCTGACGGTGCTGAGAACAGACAGATGTCAAGGATTGAACTTGGTCTGTAGCATGCAAGGCAAACACCCTGCCCTCTCCAGCCCCTGACTTTTTTCTAACTTATTGGTAAGGGAATTTTATTGTTATTATTTGGACCATTTATTCTGAACAATTTCGTAATGAAGAGCCGATCATTCTTTTCATTCAGCTGACAATGGTTTGATTTTACAATGTATGAAGTTCATAGTGATGTTTCATTCCACAGTGAAAAGGTTTGTGATATTTAAATGACACAGAGCAGCAAAATACAGTGTATATCGAGATTCTATATGAAAAATTTTAAGATTTCTTTCCATAAATGCAATTTTAAATCTTCTATTTTCATAATAAAATCATGATCTGCAGCCTAGAAATCTTCCTGTGAACATATGTAGCGGGTAGAATAACTCAAAATGCCAATATATGAAGTTATTGCTCCTTGGAGTGATAGTACAGCAGTAGGGCATTTGCCTTGTGCGCAGACAGCCTGGCTGAGCCGGGTTCGAATCCTCCACCCCTCTTAGAGAGTCCAGCAAGCTACCAAGAGTATCTCAACCGCACGGCAAAGCCTGGCAAGCTACCCCTGATGCATTCGATATGCCAACCACAGTAACAACAAGTCTCCAGATGGAGACGTTACTGGGCCTGCTCGAGTAAACCAATGAACAATGGGAGGACAGTGTTTGTTTGACAGTATTGTAATTTAATATAATAATTAAGATTAAATCATACTGGATTTAGGATCTGAATCAAGGATGGGTGGATGTATGGTAACTAACAGAAAGATGAAGAGAAAACAATGTGAAGCTAGAGGCACGTATTTGAAGGATACTAAAGATTTTGAGTTGTCATCACTGTGACCTCAGGGATTTAAGGATAACTTCTATTGTAACTTTCATACAGTCCTTTCACTTGTTAGCAGTGTTTGAGCCACACCTGGCAGTGTTCAGGGCTTACTCCTGGCTCTGTGCTCAGGAATCACTTCTGATGGGGATCAGGACATCATATATTGTGTCAGAAATCTTATCTAGGTCAGGTACATGAACCTATTTTCCACCTATTGTCTTTTCCACCTATTGTTGTCATCGACATTATACCAGTTATATAACTACTGTCTATGTCTTCACTAATATTTGGCTTAAAAGTAAACAATATTAAATTTCGGTGAATTTTAAAAGAGCACAAGACTTACTTGTGCAGGGTAAAATCCGTGCCATCTCTCCAAACCCATTTTTGTTGTGCTATGTTGTAGTATAAGGCGACTGAAAACTTTCCTTTTTGCACATAATATTGTATTTTTGACAAATCCATTACAAAATTCTGCAGAGTGAGAAGAAAATAAATCAGAAGTAGAACTGTCACTAAGAGAAGTATAAAGATTTAAATGTCATTTCACTTATAAATTTCCCTTGGGATATCTGTTCTACACTATCAAAGAACCTAAAGGGTAACTTAATCATATGACTAATGATTCATTCATCCACTTAACAGTCATTAACTTTTATACTGTCTATATTATATTATCAACATTTTTGGTATTTAATTATAAAAATAATCAATAAACTTTATGTGAGTCACATTTTTTAAATTTTTTTATTTTTGGATCACAGCCAGCTGTGCACAGGGGTTACTCCTAGCTCTGCACTCAGGAATTACTCCTGGTGGTACTCAGGGGATCATATGGGATGCTGGGAATCGAACCCGGGCTCGCTGCATGCAAGGCACAGCCCCTATATGAGTCACTTTTAATAGGTAATAAAAAATAAATCATTTATTGAGCCTACATAACAACGATCAGGTGACAAGAATCGAAAGATGAAAGAAGAAATGAAGACTTTAAAGGTTTTAGAGAAATAAGCATAATTTTTAAGAGGAGTGTCTAATAAATTGAAAACTTTAAAAAATAAAACATACATTAATGGAACAGAGTTTGGAGTGAGAGATGGAGTAAATAAATTTCTTCATAGACTTTAAAACAACTATTAGAACACAAAGGATCAAGAGAATTGTAAGTATCTACAGCTTGGGAGCGTAATGTAGTTCCCTTTCAAAAGCGTTGATGGAGGGAAGTTCCTGATGGAGGAGAGAAGAGAGACATAGCGGGATCCAAACATAATGAAAGGATGCTCAAGTTTATTTGCACTTTATCCAAAGTGCTGATAAAAGTCATTGAGGTATTACTAAAGTACATATTAAAAATTACAATCAAATTGCAAATATTTTTGTGATTTTTGTACAAAATATTGTCTGAACAATATGATAGTTTCTGTCTGTCTGAAAATTCTCATACTAAACTTACTATTTTACAAAAACTTACCATCTCTTCTTCAGTAATTACTTTAAGAAATCTTGAAAATAAACTCATGCAGTATGCTTCACATTCTTCCCCAGGAAGCGCAGTTTTTGAAAAATGGTAGCAGTTTTCTCCATGTTGATGCCAATTCCTTGAACAAGTATAATTCCAAACTATCAAAAAATATATATTAGAAAAAACTTGTTAATGTAAAAATTTCTATTTTTTGCCTATTGTAATTTACTTAGTCCATTGTAATTTACATAAATTTTATATCTATATCTATATAGATATATAGGTATGCAGGCTGGAGTCATAGCACAGCAGGCAGGGCATTTGCCTTGCACATAGCCGACCTGGGTTTGATTCCTCCACCCCTCTCGGAGAGTCCGGCAAGCTGCGGAGAGCCTCCCATCTGCAAGACAGAGCCTGGCAAGCTCCCTGTGGAATATTCGATATGCCAAAAACAGTAACAACAAGTCTCACAATGGAGATATTACTGGTGCCTGCTTAAGTAAATCAATAAACAACAGGAGGACAGTGCATATATATATATATATATATATATATATATATATATATATATATGCATAATATGTGCTTGGGGTCCCACACCTGGTACTGCTCAAGAGTTATTCCTAGCTGTGCATTCTGGAATCACCTCTGGCAGACTTGGGAGACCATAAGGGATGCCAGTGGTCAAATCCAAGTTGACCCTGTATAAGGCAAGGACCCTACCTTAGTTCAGTACCTGTTCTACTACCTCTCCAGTCCCAAATTACTATATTTTTTACATTTAAATAATTTAAACATAAAAAATATATATAACCAAGTACCTTGCATCTGGGGCTGGAGCGATAGCATAGTGGTAGGGCGTTTGCCTTGCACGCAGCCGGCCCAGCCGAGCCGGGTTCGATTCCTCTGCTCCTCTCAGAGAGCCCGGCAAGCTACCGAGAATATCTCACCCGCACAGCAAAGCCTGGCAAGCTACCCGTGGTGTATTCAATATGCCAAACACAGTAACAACAAGTCTCACAATGGAGATGTTACTGGGCCCGCTTGAGCAAATCGATGAACAACAGGAGGACAGTGACAGTGACAGTGACAGTGACCTTGCATCTGTGAAAATCACCTCTAGAGCAAGTTCACATAGTAAATCTAACCTCTAAAAGAAATTATTTGGAAATTATTTGGAAAAAATAAGGTAAAGAAATTATTCGAGTTTTATGTAAAAAAAACTAGATGCACAAGTTTGGTGTTAGATTTCTTAATTAGCAATTCATCTTATGAAAAACAATTTGGTCTTTATGATTCATTCTAAAGCAAACTATGTTGAAAATTAGAAATATATGAGTCTATTAAATACATATAACTGCTAAAATTGCTAATTTCTTGTTCAAAATTAAAAAGTGAGACTCTTACATTATTGTGTGTGTATTTGTTTGTTTAGACCACACCAAGTTGTCCTCTTGGACTACTTCTAGCTAGGTGATCAGGGGACATCTCAGAAGTGCTGGGAACTACACAGTTATAGGAATTAAACATGGGTCTTCTGTAGGCAACGCATGGGCTCCAGACCACTGAGATATCTTTCCAACCCCAATTTTTGTATGTTTATGCTTTCTAGGAACTGGGACAGTAAGTAATACCCAGGGCCCCTATTATGCCAGACATAGAACTCAGGACCTTATTTATGCTAGGATGCTCTGTATCATTTGAGCCATCTCCTCAACCTCAAACACTTACTTAAAAGTTTAAGTTTTAAAAATTTGATGAGTATAACATCCAATCATAAATGGATGTAAGTCTAATATAAAACCATCACATTTTGTCAAAAATTATATTGTAAGGGGCTATGGTGCCACCAGCAGGTCAATCTGTACCTGTGAGGTGAGTGCATCAGCAGCCTGATGGCGCCTTCAGACTTCCAGATACCCCAAAATTGCTGCTGTGCCTTTGGCCAGACCCCAAAACCTTGGGGCAAAGTTTACCAAGAAGGTAAATGGCCAAAAATTAGGTATGTGGCCAAAACCCACAAACCACCTCAGGCTCAGCTATATAATTGGAGGCATGGCCTCAGATTCCTGATCAGACTGCTTAATGGCCATGACCCCAGAAACTCAGAAACAAATCTCGGAACCCAATGGCTTTTGGCAGAAATGTGTCCAGACCCGCGTTAAGTTGCTGTTGCCAGGCCACCCCGGGGGGGGGAAGTGTGCTGTCCCTCTGCCAGCTCCCCTAGGTGTCTTGGTAGCTGCCATCCTCCAGAGGCCATTTGACAGTCAGGTTTGGGCCCTCAGTGACAAGACAGGCAGGGCCTCACAGGATGCGGGTAGAGCCATCCCTTTCCTCCCCATCCCAACGAGACCCCCTAGTCGCCACCCATGAATGGCCTTTCTGGCTCCTGATCAAGCTGCTTAACAGCCATGATCCCAGAGACTCAGGAACAAATCTTGGAGCCCAGCAGATTTTGGCAGAAATTCCTCCAGATTTGTGTTAAAATTTCGGAATTTCAAAATCACGCAGCCACTACTGCAGCTGCGCGACATCATACGTTATTCATAACCAGCAATAGAAAACAAATTGTCTACTGTTGCCTTTTCGGCAGATCTGAGTGTTGGGGTAAAATCCCAAATAATAATGGTGGGTCTGGTGTCAAAATATTGAATGTGATCAAAGTAGAGAGAGAGTAATGTAGAAATCATCTGCCCCACAGGTAGGGGGAGGGTGTGGGATGGGGATATACTGAGGTTTTGGGTGGTGGAGATTGGACACTGGTGAAGGTACGAGCGTTTTATTGTATGACAGAGACTTAAACCTGAAAGCTTTGTAACTGCTCTTACGGTGATTCAATAAATAGAATTATGGAAAAAAAATTCAATCAGCTAATCAGTGGCCAAATAAATAGCAGTACTCTTACAAAAAAAATTACATTGTACTTTAAGCTGCCACCAGCACTTAATCATTTTGAGCACATGACTAATATACATATTACAACATAAGAAATTTGCTTTGACAAACAAGTAAACTTGATTTGTCTTCTTACATGTTTCTGGTTAGATGTAGAAAGCCACAAGGAAGTTTTATGCACATTTTTTTCTCCATCCTGAAAATAAAATTGTGATGCAAGACTCTTCCATAATTACCTCTTTGGTTTGTTTCCTTGTAGGAAGAGCCATTCACTGGGTATTCTTCAGAATGAAATGACTTCTGATTCACTAAAGAGAATTTGGAAAAAACTATTTTACATCAAAAAAGAAAAAAGAATAAAAAAGAAATTTCTGCACATACAACACTGAGTAAATTTAGTAAGACAAAAAAATTCATCAAACGTTATTAATTTCAAGGATTTATCAAGTTTTTAATGCAAGTATGACAATTTTTATAGGAATCAAACACAGAAAAAGAAAATTTTGTTCCAATAATGCTATAGCAAGTTTTTAACAGAGAAAGTTGCAGTTTGGGATCAAACTCAAAGTTTAGTACATGCAAAGTACAAGCTTCAATCTAAACTACTTCTTCTGCCCCCCAGAGAAATAAATTTTAAAAGTCATTTGTGATCTAGAAAACTTAAGTAATAAGTAATGTTAAATAAAATATCTAGTAAGATTCTATTCATATGCTTACAATTTATTAATTGCACAAATCCAATTTGAAGGGTACAGAGAATATTATTCTTGCTCAAGTCACTAAATTAATGAAAACAGTATCATCTTCAATATTTAACTATAGGAATAATGGAAAATCAGTGGCTTACATGCTGTGACTAAGAGACCAACAGTTAAAAGAAGTGCCAGGCAAGTGATCACCAGAATCATTGCAATTAATTTCCATGATGAAGGTGAAATAAGATCTACAGAAAGAGACAAGTAAATCTTCTGACATCAACTCCTATATGTTCATTCAAACTTATGCTTTTGTTTCAGATATAATAACTACACAACAAATTGCAAACTAAAAACAGGAAAAAGAAAAATGATCTACAAAAATGGTACTCAATTTGGTGTGTTAAGTCATGTGAAGCCAAAATAGTCATAAGGGGGAAAAATCGGATGATACAACTCTTTATTTATCTATTATTTATTTGTGTTTGGACCATACCTATAGGTGCTCAGCACTAACTTCTGACTCTGTGCTCAAAGGTCACTCCTGGCGGGGCTTGGGGAACCATATGAGGTATCATGGATTTGAACCCGAGTCAGGTGGTGTGCAAGGCAAACACTCTACCCACCGTGTTATCATTTCAACTACAGCTGACATATTTCTAAAAACCTGACAGAATAGGCTGGTGTGCAATTGTGAGTGGAAAGGATGAACCAAGGACATGTTTCAACTTTATTGGCAAAGATAACCCAAAGCATGGATTTATAACTTACCTAAATGCAGAAAGCAAGAGGGGGATTATATAAATTCAGCTGGAAGTTTCTACTTAAATACAAATAAGAACTGATTTGGATTCAGATTTGTATTCTTAATCTGGAATTCAATGAATAAATTCAAGTGATATAAATTTCTAATTACTACCACATAGATCATGTTTTTTTAAAAAATGAATTAATCAAGGAAAAAAACAAAGATGAAATATAAAGTTACTTAAACTTTTATCACATCTCAATCATAGTCATATTGACTTACTATATGTGACAAAAATAGAACTAGGGGGCTGGGGAGTTTAGCAAGTAGGGTATTTGCCTTGCATACAGCAAATGCAGGTTTGATCCCCAGCATCTCATATGGAACCCTGAGCACCACTAGGAGTAATTACTTAATTCAGAGCCAGGAGTAATCACTGAGCATCACTAGGTGGCCAAAGAGGAAAAAAAATAGAACTTGTTAATTATTATGTGTGCCTTTCTAATTATATATTCATTTAAAATATTTGAGCAATGCAGATTAGGATAGTTACAATATAGCTTAAAACAAATTTCAAGCATAGAAAGGAATGTCAAACTTCATGCATTTGTATGCTCAAGTAAAATTATGGCACTATAAGTGTTATTAGTGTTACATTAAAACATATCATTTAAAATGATACCTTTTAAACTTACTGTGTTACAAATATCTAAATTAAGGAAGTAATAAAAAAAACTCACAGGTAACATCCTGTAAAAAACTAACTCATCTATACATTTTTTTTGATAGTATGTCCCAAACATACTATTATAGCAATGATGTTTTCAGCTAACAAAAAGGATACACAATTTAGTCTACAAAACTGTTACCAATTCAAAAATATTAATACAATATTTGCAATTAAGTGAAAGTATTAAACCTCATGGGAGAATTCTTTAATCTGATTTTATGGGTGCTGACTTATTTCATTTAATAAAAGTAAACAGTTTAATTATGCATGTGTGTGTGTGTATGTATTCATCCATATGTGACTGTGGTTTTGCATCATTTTGGATATCTTAGTGCAATTTGAAATAAGAAAATGTAGAAAGTACACATACCTTTATGCTTAAAACATGATGGTCTTTTTTTTTTAGGCTTTTTAATTCTTTGACTTCTCTGTGGTTCAGACGAATTTTCAAGTATATTGCAATATATTTCATTTTTTCCAGTCATAACTAAAGAGGCAGAGAGATGAAAATAAAAATATTTTATTTCATTATTATTCATTATTATTATTTCATCGTTATTATTCCATTTTATTATTATCTCGCCCGCATGGCAAAGCCTAGCAAGCTACCCGTGACGTATTCGATATGCTAAACACAGTAACAACAAGTCTCACAATGTTACTGGGCCTGCTCGAGCAAATCGATGAACAATGGGAGGACAGTGACAGTGATTCTGATAATGGCGAAGTAGATCTTGAAGAAGTTGTGTTGGAAATAAACTCAAAAAGTAATTTTTTTTTGTAATTTGGATATAATTACAAATGCAAAAATGATTCAAGAAACAGAAACTATTTATATCTATTTAAAATATAAAAATGTTTTAAGTCACTTAATGAATTGACATGCTACCACATTTTGGGTATTCCTTTTGTAGTCCATTCACAAATCTGCAAATTTTTCTGGTAAATAAAAGTGCAAAAGATGATCAAGTTATTTTTGAATTCTGTAGAATGAAAGTTACCTTTTTTCTCTTTTGCTTTTTTCAGTTTCTCCATGCTTTCTCTGGATTCTTCCAGCATTTCTGTTTTCTCATTCCTTCCTGCCTCTCCATGATTCCCTGTTACATTTACTCTTTTACTCTTTTACAACATAATACAAGCACTTTATATACTGCGCGTTTTGTTCAAATTCTTCCTTTGCTGAAATATTTTTCTCCCATTTTGATCACTATGAATTTAGTTGACTCAAATGTGTAAATAAAATTTCACCATCTTAAATGAAACTCACATACTTTCTGATAAAAATTCTTCCATAGTTTGTTCTCATTCTTCATCAGCGTTCTATCATCTGTTTATCTTCCTATCACTTAAATCTGTTATGAAGTCTTTGATATGTTTTGATTATCTTTATTACTGCTGTTATAAAATATTAGTTTTTACATATACAGGTATAATCTGAAAATTGTGATTGTATGTACACACTATGGAGCACTAGATTGCTGTAAGAAAGGTGAGGTCTTGTTTATTGCCGCAACGTGATTTTAGCTAGAGGATATCATGTATAAACAACAGGAGACAAAGGGAGAAGAACAAACACCAGATGATCTTATGCAGTATATCTTACATGTAGTATGTCTCACATGTAGTGTATAAAGAAACAAAGAAGAGAGTGGACAATATCACATGATAATAAATCCTACGACTCTGACTACAGAATTGATGTTACCCAGTGTGGGGGCAGGGGGGCATCCTTGGAGAGGAGGCAGCATAGAAGTTACTTAAGGTCAGTGGCATTTGATCTTGAGCACTTTGGTGGTAGGGAAGGTGCAGGAACTTTGCAGCAAAACATTGACATTAACACTATTGTAACCAACCTACCTCACATAAAGTAAATTTTTTATTAAAAATTGGTTTTATCTTCAAAGCTGTTTGCATACTAAATAAATCCTGCTTCGTATCTTGAGATTTGGAAAGCATTTTTTATTAAAACACTTTCTAAAATAACATAAATCAATATGAGATTTTTTTCAACTCTCCTTCTACAATAGAGCTGACATAAGTTTGCAGTTTGCATAATCAAAAGACACATTCATTATTCTCTACCTCTATTAAATTTTTTTTTTTTTGCTTTTTGGGTCCTACCCAACGATGCTCAGGGGTTACTCCTGGCTCTTGTACTCAGGAATTACTCCTGGCGATGCTCAAGGGACCATATGGGAACCGAATGGTCTGGGAATTGAACCCGGGTCGGCTGCGTGCAAGGCAAAGGCCCTACCCGCTCTGCTATTGCTCCAGCCCCTGAATTTTTTTATTTCTATTTTTGTTTCTTTGAACCCACATTTCAAACAACTTAAAAATCTCTAAGCTTCACAAAATGTCATATAAAATAAATTAATTAGATAATTATAAAATATAAATGATTGCAAAATCTGAAGACAACTGAATCTTACCTGATTTACCTCCTGCACCTCACATGTTTCATTAGCTGTCAAGTCCTTTTCTTTCTTTCTACCTACTAAATCTCCATATTTTTCTTTTGAGAAAGATAAATATATAGATTTAGAAATCTCATTTTTAATATATGTATATCTATTTCTTGAAAGAAATACATATATTTGTACATAATAAAATCATGTGTCTGACTGTGAGTTTAATTTCCTTTAATCCAATTTCCCTAAACTTCTATAAAAAAAAAAACACAGACACACACATCTAGAAAAATACGATTAATAGATGGAAAGTATTCAATACCTGATGTTGAGTAGAAAATGTCTTGTGCTTTGCAGAGTGTCGCTTATGTATCCTAGGAAGACACAGATCTTAACTCTCATCAAAGAAGTTTTAATTTAAAGATTTTGATAGTGCTAAGTAACCATCAGGAAGACAGGAAAGAGGACAAAGAAAAAAATATACAAGCTAATAATGTCCTTGTCTGTCTATGAGAGACTCTTATAGGTGAGCACAGAATTCAAGAATATTCGTGCTCTGGAGGCAACCACACAGGAAACTCATCTACTGCAGCTCTTTTTAGCTTGCATTCTCTCTATATTGGGCCTTTCAAAATCTCGTCTAAGTTCACACAAGCCACCTGATGTAGTTCCGCTAAAGTCAATCACTTGAATACATTGCTAATTATTGAGCTGCAAATATTTAAATTAATTTCATTTTACTCTAATTGTTAGATTCTAATATTCCTCACCAGAACTAAGGCAATGGACAAACTTGCAGGCTATCGAATGTAGCCTGCCCACAGGGCAGAGTCTGGCAAACTCCCCGTGGCGTACTCAATATGCCAAATACCAGTAACAATGATGGGTCTCATTCTCCTAAAGAGCCTTGAATATAATCTCAGGGCTAGGATGAAGGAGATGTTACTGGGGCCTGCTCGAGGCAATCGACGAATAACAGGATGATGAAATGAAATGAAATGAAATTTTTGAACATTTTCACTTAGAGAGTAGGCACTATTCTGTATCATTAGACTATACAGACACTATTCTTGGTACACTTAACCATTAATTGTTAGTGAACTGTCTATCAATTTCTGAGAATCATTTCCAACAATTGTGTCAATGAAGGGAGTACATGCACACACGCCTACACACATACACACAAACACACAAACACACACACAGCAGTAAATACGAATCAATACTTCAAATAAAAGTCAAATCAAAGAAAAATCAACTCCAGATAATTCCATTTTGGGGTGACCAAAAAAGTCTAAAACATTTTGACAAGTTAGCACTATTTCAGCATAGGTTTATTTAAATTAGAATTTACTTTGCACCATGCCTTAAGATTTTCAAATCTTGACATTTTCCAACATTGTTATCTAATTAATGGCAAATCACTTATCACTTAATCACTTAACTTCCCGTTAGTCTTCGATTTGCTTGAGCGGGCGCCAGTAACATCTCCATTTGTCCCTGTCGCGTGCTAGTGTAGCCCATTGGCATCTGTTTCTCTGGGATCATGAAGAGCCTCAAACTGATCGTTCATGATCTTCACGAAGAAGTCTGACCATCTGGTAGGTGGGAGGCCACGTGGTCTTTTGACATCCCGTGGAATCCAGTCAGTAACAGCTCTAGTCCAGCAGTCGTCTTTAAATCTCATTACGTGACCAGCCCATCTGATTACAAGGCAAATAGTAATAGATAACTAAACAGACAGATAACTAAACAGCATGTGAGCATTTAATGCCTATAAATTGCAAAATTATATTGGAAAAGCATAAATATAATGAAATGTGAATTTGATCGAAGGAAGCAGGAAAACTTACAACTGAAGAGTGATTGAAATGTTTTAAAAAGTGGACTCAGGAAATGGCTGAAGATTCTGAGCGTATGCTTTGTATGTGGGAAGTCCAGACTGAATCCCAGTACTGAAGAATTCCCAGAACAACACAGGGAACTGCTGGAAGTGGTCCAAAACACAAAACAACAATATGCAAAGAAAGAATAATCATTCCTTGTTTTATCAGTAAGAACCCTTTTATTCCTATGTAACTGACGTACAGTGCCACAGCTCTGCATGTGTGTATATTATTCATAACTCTCAGCATCATGGTCCCAGTCCCATAGACCACCAAAATAACCCCTGGATTTATTTCTCTTACCCCTCCCCTTTTTCCGCTTGTGACCATCATATTCTTACCTTGCTTATCTGTGCCTCAATTTGCTCATCTCAGTTTTTCTTCGAGCCTAAAAGTTTGTTTTTATGTATGTGTGTTGTACTATTCTCTTACTCTGTGTGTATGTGTGTTTTAAAGCACATATGAACAGGATAATTTAGTATTTGTCTTTCTTCTTCATTTGACTTAACATGATGCTTCCAATTCAATACATTCTGCAGCAAAAATGTTCATGTTTTCTTACAGATTGTTGACAAATTATATCATGAATATAGATCAAAATTTACTTTTATACTCATTGGCTATGGAGCAGGGATTCTACAGGATATTCAGATATTGGCTATTGCAAATAAAGTACAATAAACATAGTTAAGAGTATATCATTTCTATCTAGCTTTGGTGTTCTTGTGAGTATAATGGATGAGTCATATGGTAGCTGTGCTTTACATTTTTCAACATTTCCTCACCATTTTCCATATAGATTGACTCCATTTATAAACCCACCAGTAGTTGGTGAGAGTTTATTTTTTCACAACATCCCTGCCAACACTGGCTGTTTCCTGGCTTTTAACTTAAAACATTTTTATTGGTGTGAAGTAATATCTGTCATTTTTGTTTTCTTTCCTTTAATAATCAGTGATGGTGAACATTTTTTCATATAGTACCTATATGAAACTACATGAAATATACTTTTTGAATAACTATAGCTCTTTTGCAAAATATTTGGTGATGTTGTTTGCTTTTTTGTTGCTGTGTTTTCTGAGTGTTTTAAATATCTTTGGTATGAGCCATTGTAAAATTTAAGGTGTAAAAATGACTTAATTATATTCAGGATTGTGCCTTTTATTTTAGCTATACTTTATTTCCCAGTTAAGGAATATTTTAGTTTTATATAGACCCTCTTATTTATGTTTGCTTTCCTTAAAAATCTGTCCATTTAAAAAAAAATTCTACACTCTGGGAGCACTTCAGTTAACCAGCTTATTTATTGCAAACAGGTTCCACGTTATATACTTTAAGGGGCAAGAAACAAATATCTTAGGGGAACTTCCAGAACATACTTGAACAAAGTAAATAACACACTTGCACAAATTGAAAGCAAAGTAAAACAGAATGCTGATTTCTTTTGGCTGGAGTCCTGTTCCTTGAACTGTCCCCTAACATTGTTTTACTGAGATCACATTTACTGGAGGGGAGGAGGACCGTTTCTGGGAAGTCAAAAGGGGCATTTTGGCGGTGGGAGGGGGCACCTACTGCTCATTCCATTTGAGTCAAGGCTCTAGGACTCCATCCTTACCCCTATTTGCTCGCCCCCAAATATGGCCCACAATGTGTCCCACAGTTTGGCAGATTTTCTAGCCTGTAACTCTTAGTATGTTTGTCTTTATGTCTGATCTAAGTCTCTTATATGCATAATAGGTAGATAGATTCTAATTATCTTATATATCAAGCTACTTTTTCCTTTAATTGAATATAACTGTCATATACTGTCATATAATATACAGCGCAGAGTCTCCTGCCCCCACACCTGGCTGTCCTCGCTGGGACCCCTTAGAGGGAGGCGGGTTGAGTTTCCCTACACACCCCGAGCAGAGCTCCGGCAGCCTAAGACCTCCAGAACCAGCCACAACCATGCTGAGAACACTCTCCACACGCATGAAGGTACCAGCAGAGTAGCAAAGGCATGCAGGTCCCGGGGCTGAGATCTCCAAGCCTGCTTGGATCGGGGCTGAGCGTCCTCCACCCAGATTCTCCATCTTCCAGTAAGCAGGGGTCACACCCACCAACTGCTCCCCCTCCCCCCAACCCACCCCCACTGGCGCCGTGTAATCCCATCAATGGCCAACACTCAGAGACTATAAAACACAGCTCCCAGAAGATATTTTAGTATCTCTTTCTTACTTTGGACAACCTGGCAGGCTACCGAATGTAACCTGCCCACACAGTAGAGTCTGGGAAACTCCCCGTGGCGTACCCAATATGCCAAATGCCAGTAACAATGATGGGTCTCATTCTCCTAACCCTGAAAGAGCCTTGAATATGGCACTTTTTAAAATCTCAGGCCTAGGAGGAAGGAAATGTTACTGGTGCCTGCTCGAGGCAATTGACGAACAACAGGATGATGGTGATCATGATCGTGATCAAGCTACTTTTTTCTTTAATTGAATATAACTGTCACACTTATGATAAATTAGATAAAACATGTGACTTCTGTTCTGTTTTAAAATTATGCATACTAGAAAGCTATGTAATGTTATAAACTAATATTATTTCAATTAAAAGAACACAATCACTCAGCTTAAGCCATTTTTGGAGGTTTCAATTTTCTTATGAATTCTCCCATGTCACATAAGACTTACAGTAAATCAATTGGTATGGTTTTCTCTTGTTAAAAATAAAATAATAATAAGATTACGTTGTGTTGGGTGGGGCACACCTGGTGATGCTTAGGATATTCCTGTCTTTGCACTCACAAATTACTCCTGGCTGTGTTCAGAAAACCATATAGAATGCTGAGGATCGAGCCCAGGTCATGCATATGCAAAGCAAACACCCTAGAGCTGCACTATCTCTCCAGCCTGTTTTCTTTAGAAAAAACAATTCTGCCATTTCATGTGTATGGATTTCTGAAAGATTCCCTGCAAAGATTCCCATGCATTTTTATTAGAATGTTTTGCCTTCTCAGACATTAACTCCTCACCCATTTTTTTAAAATTTAACAACAGGGTGGCTAGAGAGATAGCACAGCAGGTAACCCGGCCAACCGGGTTCGATTCCCAGCATCCCATATGGTTCCTTGAGCACCACCAGGAATGATTCCTGAGTGCAGAGCGAGGAGTAACCCCTGTGCATAGGCAGGTGTGACCCCCCCCAAAAAAATTAACAACAAAATTAAGCTG